TTTCTCTCTCTCTCTCTCTCTCTCTCTCTCTCTCTCTCTCTCTCTCTCTCTCCCTCCCTCTCTCCTCCTCCCTCTCTCTCTCTCTCTGTCCCCCGCTCTCGATCTCCATCTCGAGCTCACAAGGCCTAGAAGAATTTCACATGTCTTAGTTTTATTATTAAGGATAATTCGAAATATATTTTTACACGGGATTGCCAGTTAATCAAAATTTCTTACACTACAGAAATGCAGCATTTATTGCAATAGTGGAGGTGTGACACAAAGAAAGTCTTGTAAAGCCGTGCTTTGAGTTGCTGAGAATTTGTCTGAATCGTTTGATGACTTTTACTGGATTGCTTCCCTTTCTAGTGACGTTATGTATTTGCTAAAAATATTTAAGTGTTTTCTCCTTATCAATACCCAATGATCGATGCCGTTCCTCATATCAATTTCCAGTAGTGACAGTCGAGTTGCAATTTTTCTCTCTCGAAATAATCGTTTGTAATATATTTTTTTGTGTATACCAATTCACCATGGTAGCTAGTTGATTTTCCATCGTGTGATGAAGTCCCACAAGATCTTTGCCAGAGATTTGCTGATCAACAGTGTGAAAAGTTAATAAAGTTTCAATTTAACAATAACATATTTCAGTTCTAAGAGTGTTGAAGAAAAGTGGACCAAAAACACTTTTAGTTCTTGGGGAGCTCCTTTTGCAATGACGATCCAAGGTGATTATGTATCATCGATTTTTACTCGTTGCTCTCTCCTAAAGAAGTAGTCCTTGAGTTTGACGAGTAGAAGGTTGTGTGGTAAGCTATCAAAAGCCTTCTAGATTGATTGATGTTACCCTAACCACTATCTCTTTGTTCAAGTGGCGTTGCCTGACAGCTAAGGTATTAACAGTATGCAAAGAGGCTGTCATCTACTATACGATTGAAATGTAAACTCATATGAGCTGCAAGTGATTTAATCGAAAATTAAGTTTGTCACACTAATATAGATCGATGCAGACTATCTCGACAATAATTGTAAATGGTTTCGTAACCAGCCCTCACTCAATCGTGAACAATTGAGCACTACTCCTTTGGTCTATGATACGGGCACCTGCTGTGTACCTGTTAACTAAAAGCTCGCGATCAGTAAAGGAATTCGCTCAAATGGCCTAAGTCTCACAGATGTAAACATAGAAAAGTAGTGCTGATTGATCACTTTTCAAACTTCGTGCGTGCAAAGCTAGTCGATTGGATTTGAATTTTTCGACTTGGGCTTATTTTTGTGGCAACCATTTCCATACGGTAAGACAAAGTTTGACATTGAATATACAGGGCTTTGAAACCTCGATTATTAAAACCTGAAAGTCTTCAACTTTTTCTCCTCGAATTAAGAAAGAAAAACAAAAAAAACAACCATCAATGGGTTAGGGAGGCGTCTATTTTGGATCATCCTCGTTTACATGTACGTTTTACGTAGTTTGTCCCGTGGTTCGATAATAGTATTCAGTTTCCGCGGACATTTAACAAAGAAAGACTACTTTCCGCTTTCCTTCGCTTTTACCATTAAAAATTTTTCTCTGAGGGTTGTCTGTAGCACCATCATTTCTTGTCTTCCTTGTAATTCAGTACTGGGTTGAAATTTTCAACATTATAATCGCTTTATGGTAAAAGGCATGCTGGTTGAGCAGATAGTGTAGAGTGTAGACTTCCTTTCTATAGATCGTAAGGCGAGTCCCTTTGAGTGAGTTCCTAAACAGCTGATGATGATGAGAAATGCCATGAAAGATTGATTTTCATATGCCATATGCATAAACCTGCGTTAAGACCTTCCATCCTTCCAAAGTTTTGGCTGCCAGAATTATATGCTTTTTTCGGGCCTGGTATTAGTAACCATGATTTAGTCTAAAGATATCTGTTTTTTAAAATACTTCTCATACGTACATTTTCCTGCTGAAAGGTTATCAAGAGTAACTTTACCAGGCTGAGCCAAACTTAACGTGGTTTTCTTTAGATATAAAGTGAGAAATCGTCAAGGTAAACCCTCCTGCTCCGAGAAAAAACGTTAATCACCTTTGTAACCTCCTTCTCGTGTTTGCAGAATGTCCAGTTCTCAAGATGCTAGTGGTCAACAATGCTAATATTTTGAGTGACCGCCAGAACTTTTTAATGCTCATATTTAAAGTTGTTTTTCAAAAACTTTGTGTCGTCATTTGATAGGCTTTATATAAAACTTTACCCTGCCCCTGTAAAAAATACACGTGCAGAACTCTTCAGTTCAAGGGATCGTTTTCCGAAAGCTCCGGATCAGCACATTTTGAAAGAAAGTGAAATTATCCCCCGGACTTAGAAGTAAGTTTCTCTCTCGATTTTTTATCACACCGGTAGCATCCTGTATTCTGTCTGCTGTCTACTACACAGTGATTTTAACCTGTTATTTAAATGGTTTCTGTTGGGATCATGGCAGAAGGCGTAGATTTCCTTGATTTCAACCTTCTATGTAATGATAAGCTTGGGTGATACTATGCCTAAGGATGTTTTCGATCGATTACAAACTGAGGGAAATCATTCAGAAAAATTTTCATCATCTTAGTTTTAATGATATTCACAGTAGTGCATCCGTATAAATGTTTCCTCGCGCTCGTTTGCTTATGTTATCCCTTTAAAAGTTTAACTTTTTCCTTTAATTGGGGTTTGCTGGAGTAAAAAAGGAAGCTTTTAGCCTTTCTCGATCAGGTTTTGTGAGATTTTATCGTAAATGAGGGATTGTGTTAACCATATGGTTTGTTCTACGGACATTTAGGATGAAGCTGTTAAAGCGATTGATATAAACATTCGCAGCCATCTTACCTTACATTAAACTCCTCGCTTATTTTAAGAAAAAATCATTCGTGAAATTCTTAATCTAAATGTTTTTTTGATCCCGAACAATTGTAATTTAATTGGTAGTGATTGATTTTAGTATCATTGGTCACCGGTATTTTTATGAAACGCAACAAGCGAAATACGTCGCGAAGATTAAAATGCTTCGTAAGCATATTTTAAACTATCCGCTCGTTTAGAAAAAAAAAAAAATCGAGAATGATATTTCTAAACGAAGTGATATATATATGTGTAAGGAATTTTTTATTTGGATGATAATTTGCCGAACAAATTTTTTGCAAAATACGTTCAAAAATATAATTTACTTGTTCCAAGACATGTTTTTCAGTTGGACGATGGATAGCTTGTTGATATTTAGATATTCGCCCCGCACATTGTTGGTTTCTCATCTGTCAAACGGACGTATCGCATAGCTGTTACCTACAATTATGAAATCTGTTTGCTTTTCGAGTTAAAAGAAAATGAATTCAAAGCAAAGGAATAAATCTTGTAGTGTGTGTTGTCTGTGTGAGGTTTTTGTCCGGTGATTTATTCCCTAACGAAAACAGCATTTTCCAAAAGAAGTCCAAATAAATATGCAGCGTCATGGTTTTATTTAGATTCTTTGAAAGGGCAAAGTTGGAGTGTAGGGATCTTTCACCGTAAATCAAAGAAAACGCTGATTTCAATTTGTGCCCAAATTTATCCCTTTTATTTCAGTATATTGAACGTTTGACTTTGATCTTTCTATATGAAAAGCGATATATCTTTGATAACCTTTGCCTAACTTTGATGTTAAATAATCTTACCAGTTAGCTCCAAAGAACGCAGTCACAATGCAGTATGTAATCCCTCCAGTGTTCTGAATGCGATGTTACCCACCTTTTATCAGGTTCCATTTTACCGCTTGTCGTTACATCGACATATTCTGCTATTTTGAAATAGCAAAATTTTGAAAAGTTGTCTCCTCGATCGTGTGTTTGAATATCACTGAAACTTACCCACAGATTACCTCGTGGCATATTGATTAAGTTTCGTATTTCTGTCAACCAATCATAGCTCAGTAAATTGACTCGTGCTGAGCTCCTGATTATGTAGAGTAGACACTTGTATTAATAAAGAACAAGGATTCCCCGTGTTTCCAAAAAATTACATCATCACTACGTACACAACGCATGAAATTATTGTCATCTTTTACGAAGGTTTCATGGGGATGATAATAATAATAATAATAATAATTTATCAATTTATAGTGCACTTTTTACATACAATGATCAAAGCGCATTACACTTTTGATTAAATTAAAAATTAACTTAAACAATATAATATGTCAAATAGAACTGAATATAAAATTGCTCACCGATAAAAAGTTTTAAAAAGATAAGTCTTAATATGCGCCTTAAAACTGTTCACATTAGTAATCGCACGAAGTTCTTTTGGAAGAGAGTTCCAGAGCCTTGGCGCTGCCACCATAAAAGCTCGATGACCTAACGTCTTGGATCGAGTAAGTGGCATAGAAAGTAAAATACTATCTGAAGATCTAAGGTTATATAAGGACGATTTAAATGTTAGTAAATCACATAGATATTTAGGAGCAAGGCCGTGAATTGCTTTGAACGTAATAAGCAGAATCTTAAATTCTATCCGGGCTTTAACAGGAAGCCAATGCAGACCGCGAAGAAGGGGTGAGACATGACAAAACCTAGATGCGTTACAAACTAGCCTGGCTGACGCTTTCAAAACTCCCTGCAATTTGTTAAGCTGGTAGTTGGGCAGCCCATACAAAAGACTGTTACAATAATCAACACGAGATGTAATAAATGCATGGACAAGCATTTCTGTTGATTCTCGAGACAAATACTTGCAAATGCGTTTGATATTATGCAAATGATAAAAGGCAGCACCACATAACTTGCTAACACGAGTTGACATAGTAAGCCGCTCATCAAACCATGAGCCTAGGTTTCTAGCTACTGTAACCGGACAAACATCAATCGACCCAACCCTAGTGCAATTGATGTTGGGATAGGTTTTTCTCATGGTTGCCGCTTAAGAGAGGGATGTTTTAGCAGTAGAAAGGCAAATGTTTGGCAAAGTGATTTATTCTTATATTTGGAAATCAGATTTAAATTTTAGCGTTGATCCCTTAGCTCTTCAACGAACTGGCATATCTTTCACAAATATTTTAGATATTGACATTTTGCTTGTTTCTTAATTGCAGATGATGGCAATATCAAAGACACGTAACAAAATAGAAAATTTTTTCACGTGCGTGCTTTTACGGCTTTTTCTCAGAGTTAAAAATCTTTTTATTATATAGCTGGCTACGCCAGAAATATGAAGCGAATCTTGTGTTCTAATTAATTTGAATATATCAACAAAGTTGAAATGGTAAATTAGCCACCGTTACCGTATTATAAAAGCTGACGTTTCGAGCGTTAGCCCTTCGTCGAGCGTTAGCCCTTCGTTTCGCTCCGACGAAGGGCTAACGCTCGAAACATCAGCTTTTATAATCGTAACGGTGGCCAATTTACCATTTCAACTTTGTTGATATATTCAAATTATTTCGTTACCCCCACCGACGCAGCCCCAAACAGTTTCTTTAGAAACTATCAGCCTTTATTGTTATGTTCTAATTGGCTACCTTAGGGAGCAAGATGGGTCCATCTTGCCTGCTTGGGATTGCCCACCCGCGTTAGAAAAGGAGTGTATGAAGCGGACAAAGTAGGCGATGAAGTCGCAAAAAGCGGCGGAAGACAGTCAAGACAAAAAATTTAAACAGCCTCCCTGGGTTCATTGTGTTACAAACACAGTTGGCCTCCTTTCTCGGCTCTCGAAAGAAACAAGTCATTCTTAATTCTTATTTAAGCGAAATCTTTTTTGCTACATAATAAATCCTAAAAACGACTGTATGATAGCCTCGTTCTGTCTTTTTTTTTTTTGCGTTTTTACAGACCTCAACTTCGTTTCGGTCCATAAAAACGCAAAAAGTAGCTCGGCCAATATTCAGCCATCACAACCGAAGAAGATTGGTCAATAACGCATATATACAACATCACGGGTCATGTGATAAAAATTTTTACCATTTTTGCCATCTATATAGCTGCTTTGCTTTCATAGACTTAAACATTTGTTGTCCCATTTTGCAGTATTACAAATATCACAAAGCTTAATATGATCAGCAAATCCAATCGCTATCAGTTTATTTCATGATAGATGATTATGATCTGGATTCAGGCTTCCCCTCATCATTTAATATCATCATTATTATTACTTTGTTAAGAATGAAACTCATGGACATGTTTCATTTTCCAATTTTTTGTTATTAAAATTATACTCAGGTTTCTTTCAAGTTACCTTTTGTAACTTCATGCCTTTTTTCATGTTCAATGATAATTGCAGACTGCCACATTTTCGGAAGCAAACCCCGGCCATTCCACGTAGAGCATGCCTGGACATCGTCTTTCAAAAAGGGATATTGAGGCTATGGCCGAGAAGTACTTTTGCATGTATTGTCTACTTCTTTTAAGAGATGCCATGCAGACGAGTTGTGGACATTTTTATTGCCAGTCATGTTTGGTGAATCTCATTAAGTAAGTGTGCGTTCCAAGACTTTCGAGTACTTTATTATTGTATTTTTGCGTTATTTATTTTCATCGCCAAAGACGTACTGATGACATCACTTATATTTAATAGATATCTGCATGTTTCCTGTTGACATCACACAAACTATGACGATTTTTTTTTACATCAGGGATGAAACATCCATGGTGATGATCTGTTTGAAAGATCAGACAAGGCTTCTGCCCACTCAGGTTTGGATATTGTTTCTTTGTATTTGCGTCTCTTTCAAATGCTATCGTATATAATCTTTCTAATCGAAAAGGAACTAAGTAGGAAATTCAGTGTAGATCTCATTATAACCAGCGTTTATTTTGGTCACCGCGGCGAATGTTCTTGGATACTCCTCAATAGAGGCGAAAACAAATTAGATCATCGCCAAACCTCGAGCTTGCGGATTGGGCATAGACAATAGACGTTTCATTGGTGCCACTGGCTTACAAGGGCACCTGTAATAACAACACAATTATTTTTTGCTTTGATAAAAGTGATTACAGTTCCTAACGTTTTACTTGAGTTGTCTGGCGTCATAAGGAATCCTGTGTAACAGTTGAGCTGGATGCTTTATTCAAAGCAAAACACAGCAGAGCAAACTTACCGAAAGGCAATAAAGTATAACTTTTTAAGCAAAATTTGTATATGAGTCAAAGTAACAGGTAACACAACACAATTAAAATGGAAAATAAAAAAAAATCAGGCAAAACATATCTAGATACGTTTTTATTCATGAAACGAATATCGTTGTTTACAAGTCGCTAGTTAAAAAGAAGCAAGTCTAACTTAACATTCATGAGCGGGATAGATAACCGCTTCCCGCTTAGCTCAATTGGTTAGAGCACCGGATTGTGTTATGCGGGAGGTCGAGGGTTCGAGCCCCGGCCGGACCAACACTCATGGTCTTAAAATAACTGAGGAGAATTTGCTACCTTTCTATAATATCAAGAAATGGACAGATATTCTAGTCTTCTCGGATAAGGACGGATAAACCGTGGGCCCCGTCTCCAGCAGGGTTAGGGGTAGGAGACGTTAATTTTCCATGTACGAGATTACTGTGTGGTGGATTCCTGCCCTGCGGTGGGATGGGTGGGTTCACTGGCCCCGCAGTAATTGGCGCGAGCTGTTGCGGTGTCCCTGCCTATCCAGGTCGTGCCCTCAAGTTTAGCTTGTATATGTCTACCGGCCTGGCTGATGTGAACTGAGGCTGATAGTTTCTAAAGAAACTGTTTGGGGCTGCGTCGATGCGGGTAACGAAATAATTTGAATATATCAACAAAGTTGAAATGGTAAATTGGCCACCGTTACGATTATAAAAGCTGACGTTTCGAGCGTTAGCCCTTCGTCGGAGCGAATAGAGCAATTGTGGGTTTTGAGTGCTTTTAAAGGCAGAAAATGGAGCTACGTTATTGGTGGGAACATGGCAACGAGAAAAACACGAATAAATTAGTGGAATGAAAAGCGTTCGTTGATACCTGTGGGATTTAGACTGCTGGTTTGAAAGACGAATAAATTAGTGGAATGAAAAGCGTTCGTTGATACCCGTGGGATTTAGACTGCCGGTTTGAAAGATGAGCTTTTGTTCAAGAATTTTACAGTGTCCTTGTCATTCCTCTCCTCCTTCGCGACGTGGAAAGGAATGACAAGGACACATCGAAACCAGTCGCTAGAGATTTTAATTTACCTAATCATTCTAAGCAACATATGGAAATCTGCGGTCTTTCCTTACACTTAGGTAGCACGGAAAGCCGTAAAACTCTTGAACAAAAGCTCATCTTTCATGATGATGAAAGTTCACATCTTATGATTTGAACTGAACCTCATTCACCTGGGATCTTGTTTACAATTCTGGGAACCTTCTCATTAAGTCACTTCATTTGCGAGACTCGCAGCGTGTCGAGACTTAAAACCGGGGTTGAACTCATACTCTCATTGCTAGTGCATCATAAGCCTATTTTGGACCCCACCTTTACTATATCGCTTCTGTTCCCGAGTGTAGTTTAAAGTTTTTGCCACCAGTATTCCAAAATGGCAATATGAAATCTCTTTTTAGATCGTCTAAAAAACGTCTATTGTTTATCCTCTTTACTTGATGCAATTCTCTTTTATTCGAATTTTACGCAAGTAATGCGTGCACTCTCAGCCGGAATTCTCTTGCCCCTGATTGTCGTGTGCTCTTTCAGGGTTGTGTTTCATTTAATCGTTTTGTATAATCAAGTATCTTAAGATTTTCTTCGTGTGCATGCATATCATCTGGGCTTTAGTCACTTAGTAGAAAAAAATTTCTGAGTATAAGTTTTTTAACCTTTTCAACGAATTAGTCATGATTATCTCTTATCACCATGCAATTGCATTCTTTCAGGTTTTTGCAGACAAATTCATGCGAAGAGAAATACTTGCTCTTGTCGTGTACTGCACATTCGTGGAAGACGGGTGCCAATGGAAAGGAGAAGTCAGACATCTAGAGGTGAATGTCTATTCTATCTTACGACTGTTTAATAACCTTTTTTTTTTTTTATCCGAAGACGTCCAAGTGGGTTTCGAGAAGAAAAATTATGGGAAAGTCGACCGAAGCAGAGATAGTCTCTGATTCTAAGATTTACTTCGCCAACGAATAAAGCTTTCTAAGCCTCTTAAATTCAATTCAAGTTTCTGGTTGTTAAAAAAAAAAAAAAATCTCCAGCACTTTTACCATCCTTGGAATGAACAGTGACATTTGAACAAATATGCCTCTTCATGTTGGCTAAGTTTTCATGTTTTGATAAGAGACACTAAAATGTGATTTTTTTCTGTCACAGAGCCATACCTCGACTTGCGAGTTCCTGAAATTACCGTGTGTTCATCCTGGGTGTGGTGTATTAGTGAAAAAAGCTGATCTTACAAAGCATTTAAAGGAGGAATGCATGTACAGATTAGAAAAGTGCCCATTTTGTCAACAACAAATCAATCTGAACAAAATGAAGGTGAACTATCTGCAAATGCTGTACATATGTTGGAGCTACTTTGAGGACACAAAAATTAAAAGCAAATAAGCCTTGGCTATAATCATAACTATGACTATCAGCTTGAGCCCAAGCTACTTGTGACTAGTGTTGTGCTTTTTGGTATCAATCTGGCGTTAAATAAGCATTTTAGTCGTTGATAATTTGAAATGATTATAATCTCCTTGACAAAGCAGCTTTCGGTTGCCAAAACAACAGAAATAATGAAAAGAGGTAGCACCACTTATAGGTTGTGTTGATACTATGGTGACGTGACAGAACGAATCGTAACAGCGGAAATAATGTAACTATATTGTTACGAACCATCGCTAAATAGCGAATTCAGCACTTGGATCAAACGATAGTACACGCACTGTACAAGTAAGACATGGATTGTCTCTTTAACTACAAGGAATTGCACGGTAACTCTCAAGATAATGTTAAACCAATATAGAGTCGATTAAAGGTGTTCAAGTCGGTGGTTAAAAGCTTCCGTTGTTCTGTAGTCTGTAACTCAAACTGATGGTTGCAATGCTGGTGCATGCGTTTGGCAACGTGCGGCCAAAACCTCCCTAAAATATTTAATTTGTAATGGGTCCCTTGCCCTGGAGATCAAATTGAAGACAAGGGAAAATTATGGGAGAGTATTTTTTAAGTTTCTTCTTAGTACATGATCTGTGTTACAGGTGCACCATGAAACGGATTGTCCTGCATATCCAGTTCGTTGTGGCAACTGCAACAGAGAGGACATTCCTCGTAGACGGGTAAAATATTTTGATGAATAAGAATGATGTTTGAATAAAATCTCAGAATTTGAAATAGTGGTCAAAGAATGACGCTGTTATTTTCAATCTTTTAGAATAATGTGAGGACAATCAGTCCGGTGTGCAATTTCAAAATGCTTCCAAAGATGTAATCGTTACTTGCATCGTTGCCCCTATTACAAATGCTATTATTATAATCATTATTGTTAATATATGTAATAGGACCACATGCTGTCCAATTTGGAAATAATGGGATGAAAATAAATTCTGAGGACAGCCGAAATTGGATGGGGCCTTAGACCGAGTCCAATCTGGTTGTCAGAGCAATATTTTAGATCCAACTTTTTTCCAAAATGGGACAAGCATGTCTAACTAATTATATAGTTTCTCAGTTTTAATCGGGCATTGTTCAGTCAGGCTATTGTTCTTTAATTTGATAAAACTGTCCAATTAGGAACTGATTTGGATAGCTTGAAACAATCCAAATTAATCCTTAATTGGACAGTTTAAAAAAGATTAAAGAATAGTAGCTATGCTGACAATTTCGTACAACTACCAGCCATAAAATTATTATGATTATTATGAATTACTGTCACTGACAGGCTAATATTGTACTATTTAGGAAATAAGAGATCTTAGTCGGAGTTTGAGTGGTCTTCAATTTGTTTTCGAAAGGAAAATATCACTCACAAACGAATAAAAAAAATAAATTTTCTTTAGGAGAGCAGATCTAGGTTCTCTGATGGTGTCCCTATTTGGAGTAAAGGAATGACTTAGCTGTCTTCTGTTAGTCTATTAGTTGTTTCATCTTTTTGTAGCTGCGAGATCACCAGGATCCAACTTTTGGAGACTGTGAAAATGTGGAGGGCCCATGTCCATTTTCACATATTGGTTGTCCAAAGAAAGAGGTTAGTAGGAAATATTAAGTCTTTTTACTCTCTAAAGCACACCGGGAAGGACCATGTGAAGTCATTAAAATAGTCTCCCTGTTCTCCACTCATTTCAAGATGTCATAACCTCTGAAAGTACCCTTTACGTATACATCATTGGGTTACAGGTTGTTTTTTTTCGATGCAATTCGAGCAATAGTGAAGAATCACAATATAAAAAATGTTCTCAAATGAAATTGGAGCTCAAACCCTGATCCTAGACAGTTCGTATTTTAATAAATAATTTAAATAATATATGTGAAATTTTTACAGGTCCTAAGCAAGCGAGAAAGAAAGAAACATGTGGAAGAGGCAAATACATTTCACACGTCTCTGCTTCTTAAACAAATCTTGCCGATGACCAAAGAGATTGAAGGTATTTTGACTCGAAACCCCTCAGTCATCTCCAGAAATCCTCAGCTCCTTTCAAACTTTGATGGGGTAGTTCAAGATATTCTTAACCAGTTACAAAGTGGTACAGAAGAGAGAAGAAACCAGGAGGCCAAATTAAGAGAGCACAGTGAACGAATAACCCTTCTAGAGAGAACTGTGGCTTTAGGGAATGTTTCGGGAACGGAGGCGTCTGTCCGACGTCTCCCTGAAGCTGAAGGGGATTTACCATCTGGTGAAAACTCAAGAAGGCTAGTCAATCTTGAAAACAGAACCGCTGACCATGAAGTACTTCTGGTCGAGAACAATCGCACAATGGAGGAAGTTAGGCGTGATGTCGGTAACATTAAGAGGCAACTTGACAATATACAGGAGAGCTCCAGAAGGCATGACCGAAGGATTGAATCTATTGAGCACACACTCGCTCTCAGGAACGTAACCTTGGCAGATTTGGAGGAGTACGTGAGACAGCAAGAATTCTCAAGCTATGATGGCCAGCTGTTGTGGAGGATTTCTGATTATGCTCGCAAACGAAACGAGGCAGTGACTGGACAGCAAGTCTCCTTCTATAGCCCGTGCTTCTTCACTAGTCGCTACGGTTACAAAATGTGTGCCCGATTTTACCTGAACGGGGATGGAATGGGCAGAGGAACGCACATCTCTATCTTCTTTGTGGTCATGCGTGGACAGTATGACGCGCTCCTCCGCTGGCCATTCAGACAGAAGGTAACCTTCATGTTGCTAGATCAGGATAACGCAGAACACGTGATTGATGCCTTCAGACCTGATCCGAATAGCTCATCCTTCCAAAGGCCAAGAAGAGAAACCAACATCGCCAGTGGGTGCCCGATGTTTTGTTTGCTGGCTGAACTTAATAATCACGCATATGTCAGGGACGACACCATGTTCCTGAAAATCATAGTGGACACTACTGACTTGTAGACAATCCTGACCAAAAAGAAAGCCTTCGAGAAAACTCTTCCGTGGGCTTAGGGGTAGGAAAGGGATGGAGAGCTTGCAGATCGTTCCCTCAAAGGCGGCCCAGGCAGTATAAGAGCAGTTTTTTTATATCTACGTTTTACGAACACCGTTTGAATTTGCATTTATACAAGAATACGTGCAGATAAAAGAAAACCTTTCTAAAATATTTCTTAAAATTGAAAAAGGAATCGAGCTGAAAATGACTTAGTTCGACCTTTTGTGATTTCGTAAGTTACCATTTTCCTTCTGAAGCGTCTTCAAAGATCTCGTGGCGAGTTTTAGATTTGGTTTTCCAAATGAATAAATTGTTTGCAGGCTTGTTGGAAAATAAGCTACCTCAAGCTTACTAACCAAGTTCAAAGTTCCATAAATTTCGTGAAAACTGTCCGAACTCTTGAGAATTTGTTAGCATTGGAACTGGCGATGATGTGTCTTTGAGTTCGACGTTTCAATGTGCGTTCTTGGTGGTGATTTCTGAGTGTACCTGGGTCGGTTCTACTTCCGCTTGATTCGACCCAGGAGTCCTCCCACCTCATTACTGGAAATACACTATGGCCTGATCGAGGGAAAGTGGTGCCACGGATGAAATACCATAATAATTTTTATACTAACAGGGTTGTGAGACGAAAAAAGGCCTGAAAACTTAAAAATCGAGCGCCTAGCAAGCGGTTGACATAAAATCTTGAACTACAAATGCTTCGAACTGCAAGACCCATTTTTGATAGTTTCACTTGAGGTAATTGTAAAGAGTTTGCACTATTTTCATAGAATTAATGGAGCTTCGAATTGGGTTGGACAGCTTGAGCTTTCCAGTTCGGAATCCTCCAAGTGATTCAAATTACGGCTGGAAAATGAATAACGAACAAACTGACTGAATTCAACAAAATCTTTTAAATCCTATCCGCCGTGTTTGGACCGGTATGCGAAAAAACATTGCTTCTGACTTTTACGATAATCAGTGCTCTTTGATTTGGTTATCAATGGGTTAATGCTCAAGTATGCTTGCCCTTTCGTAACCTCAAGAGCGGCAGAAACATTAGGTAGAAAATAGCAGTTTTGTCGTATTTACTCGGTTTCACAGGTTAATGTATCAAATTGATGTCTGAAATTCAAATTTATAGGAACAATCTCAAACTCCCCCACTTTCCCATCCCCGATCCTGCTGAGGAGCTTTCTTGCAAGTAAGGAAAAGAAGCGATATCTATTCAAGACACTTTTGCAGAGCGTGAGCGTTGATTGGACGAGAAGTTCCCTGTAAATAAAACCACAAGATTTCCCGAGAGACGTCTTTCTGTGATCCTTGATTCTTCAAGTGGTGTGATGCTCAAGACGTCTTGGTTGAGACATGTCAGATTTCATACCTGACGAAGAATTTTTTACTCCTTGTTGTTCAGCCTCTCCACCATGTTACGAACTATTTTTGGTGTTACTGATCCACCAGGGACTATGATGTAGCTTTTCTGGCTATGTTATGCCAATATTGAACCTACAGATATTCAAGGATGTTGCTTTCAGTACGCCTTTCTTGCTTCAAGAACGCCTCTCTTGGGAGCACTTATCTAAATTTCGATGAAGATTAACTTATGTGTTTAAAAAAAAAACGGTCAGGTAGATTATGAATTATGGTAGTTTATTTCTATAACCTTAACTGTAATTTCGATATTTTACATTGTTATATGGCCGGAAGCGCCCATGGGAAACATGAAGCGAATCCTGTGTTCTGATTGGCTACCCAAGCAGGCAAGATAGGCTCATCTTGCCCGCTCGGGACTGCCCGCTTTGATCCTGCGCGAGAAAAAAAGTGCGTGCAGTGCAGCGGACTTGCAAAGTTCGTAACCTTTCGACAAAGTCGCAAAAAGCGGCAAAGGAAAGTAAAAACAAAGAACACATAAACGGCCCTCGAGGGTTTATTGTGGTTGGTTTTCTTTCCCGGCTGCCCAAATAAAGAAGTCATTCTTTATTCCTATTAAAGAGAAATCTTTTTGCTATATAATAAATCCTTTATTGACCAAACTTGCTCGGTCACGATGACTGAATATCAGTCTCCTTCCTTTCTTTTTGCGTTTTAATACACCTAGATTTCGTCTCGGTCCGTAAAATCGCAAAAAGAGAACTCGGCCGATATCCAGCCAACTTGACCTCACGCTTAGTCAGTAACACATATACAGACCATATAGATATGACTAGTCAATATTAGCTGTAGGGGTAACGGCAAATAGGACTGCAAAGCAAACAAAAACTAAAAACAAGTAAAAAAAATTAATGAATTTCAGATGAAAATGTAATAATCGATACAATTACGACGAAGAAATATGCCTAACTCTTTTGAGAAATTTTGTGAAGGCCATTGATAGATATGCTTTGGACTAATTTTTGCGTCAAGACACAAGGGATGAAACGTACAACGGCAATTGTTAGTCCATGACTAAAATTTTTTTCATTGTGCTCTCTGACTAAATCTAGGCATCGCCCCATGTGGCACGATGGCTGGCCGTGATTGGTGGATTCGAAGTGGATCACACACGGAGGACACCAGATCGCAAGACCAAGATAAGCAGCAAGAAATGATAATATCTTTTTTGTCATAATTGCTAAGGGGATCATAAGGTTCTTTGATTGGCTAACTACTACGGGAATTTTTTTCTTCAAATCTTTCCGTGGGAAGAGATTATGACGACGCCCCCGAGTTACCTCTTGGTGCCTCTGGAGAAACAGCCACAAAAAGTAGAAAGGGTTCGGGAAAAATTAGGTTGTTTTGTTAATCACCTGAGTAATCATTGTTGAAACAATTAATCTTTCTCTACTCACTACTTACAACACTAGCTTGCTTACACAACTTCCGTGGATTCTGATGTTGCTTGGCTTACGAGCAATTTATTAAAAATTGTAGTCTACGTTTACCTTAACTTACGAAGAAAACTTGCACTACTTTTTTTTTTTATTTGATATTAGCAATAACATTAAACAAAATTTACGGCGTTAACACTAACAGCACTAATTCAGACCTAATTATACACTGCTTCTAATGAAACTATACAACATTTACGTTGAAAATAGCGCTTATATAATTATTGCACCAGCTCAGTCATTTGTAAAAAAAATTTTAATGCTACGAATAAGTGTTTGGTGGCCAATCTGTCCTTTTGTACAATACTAACGTCTTTGCTTGATTTTGTCTTTATTTTAGGAATTAATTAATTAATTGATTGTAATTCTCATCAAGTCCACTTTATCAAATGGAAATTGGGATTCACCTGGGTATTAGTAACTGTAACAGAAATTTTTACATCTATAGCAGAAGATACTGCAGAACGATAGGGGATGGAGACGGCCCTAGTTACTGCTCTGACTGGAGCGAATTTTTGAATAGTTTTTACTACAATTATATTTTTTAAAATTCAATTCATTGCATACGTTATGTTGTATTCAAATCAGGTTTCTTAAAATATTTGTTTCTTAGGCGATGGAAGAAAATTGTACAGGTAGCAGCGTGCTACTTTTCAAGTAGTTTGACGCACTTATTTGTTAACTTTTCTGTGTCTGTTTGATTAAGTTCTCGTATTTAAGAATGAAAGTAAACGTGTTTATCGTTTTTAATCCTAACTATGATGTTATATAGGAGGGTTTCATTTAATCTTGAAGTCAACAATTTCTTAGGATATTGCTTTTAACAAATGTCTACTGAGTAGTTTTTTAATAATTTTTTGATTATAGACTAGTGAGCAGCACTTCTGCGAACAGTAGTTGTAAAACTTCTTGTATTTTCCTACGCGTTTCGTCTAACTGTCGTAGACTTCTTCAGGGAGTTTTACAAGT